AATACCATCCCTGAACACGCAGATAATGCTACTTCATATTCATTATCACTGTTTCTGTTAGAAGAATAAATAGGGCGTTTAGGTTCGCTGACCGTCTTGTATTTCTTTTCTCTTCGATTCTGAGGTTATATTTAAAACTTAGCTACTTTAACGCACTTTTATGAATAAAAATGAATGAAACACAACCCTGATATAAATTGTAGATTTATGTGTTCTCTGCCCTATGCAGATGAGATTGTCTGAAAAGTAGCAAATATTCAACTCTTGGATAGCCAGTCTTATAACTATTTTCTCTCATTATTTTGTATTGACTAACATTCGTATTTGCACAGGGACTTAGTGGGCAAGTTGCCACACGAGGCCCTCAGATAACGCAATCACAATCAACTCCATTTACCGGAGTCAAAACTTCTGGAAAATGGACGTTTAATCGGCAGTCAGATGCTAATCAAATTGGGATAATAAACACATCATCGTCGGCAGGAGCTTCTGCTATTCATACTAGAGGGGGAAAATGTCACTTGGCTGATTCCAGTTCACTTGGCTCGTCAGAACAGCAATTATCTGTATCAACTCTATCCGAAAATCTGCCGTCGGTACTTGATGAAACAGTGAACAATCTGGTGATAAAAACACCAACTCTTCTTAGCAAATCAGGGGAAAAAAATACCGAGACCAGCAATCAGATCATGCCAGAGACCCTTGAAGAAGTAGACTATATGAGCACTAGCAGCCAAACAAGTAGCAGTTGCAGCCTGGTTCTTGATGATTCGAGGATGACAAGCTTAAATTATTCTTTCTTGGAGGGCTGGCGCCAACGAAAAAAGCACTTCAGACAGACACGGCAGGGTGATAAGGTAATCCAAGTGGCGCAGCCTAGGCTGGAATCGAGTGTGGAATTGGGGGAAACAGTCGTGGCTCCGAAGAATTCTCCTTGTGCCACATCCAGAATTTCAAAAGAAACATCTTCATTTCTAGCATCTACCACTACGTGTTCTTTTCAAGAGAATGCCAATCTTGCCGAATCCGTGAATCATGGCTCAACTGAAGAACCCCGAACTCCTATCCAGCCTCGTGAGTTCCTCGTTCATAAGCTAATTCTGGCCGCAGCATCGCCCGTTTTTGAGGCCATGTTTTACGGTCCACTAGCTGCTGCTTCCTCTTCTTCCTATACCACATACAAGTCTTCAATAAGCACTCTGCAGTCAAATGGAAGACAAAATTTATCAGTTCAGGGCCAAACACTCAGTTCGCAGGAAAATGAGCTTCTTTTACTCGAAGTTCCTGACGTCCATCCTATGGTGAGTAGTTTGAATAATTAAGACGTCTATTATAGTCATATTTAAATCAGCATTATGGAATGCGAAGAAAAGTTGGGTTTTGATCACTATATTGGTTCATAATTGTTGAGCTGATGAAGATATTCGAAGATTGATCCTACCAGAATACAATGGCTAATTGCTCTTGATCAGCTATCTATTGGCCCTACTGGAACATTCTTGTTGATGCTGTTTCCGAAGCAATCTTCTTTGATTCCGGTTAAAACATGCTAAGCTTTTGTCCTTCGTATGAGAGACATCATCAGAGCAGGGAATCATCCTTGAAACTATATTTATGCTAACGATTTAATAAAACTCTTGATTCCATCACCCTAACGAAATAGGGTGAATCCATCTCATATATATGATCTATTGGTAGTCTCGAAAGCCTACTTATAAACTAAAAATAGGTAAAGAAGTTGTTTGACCTTTTTTTCGCAACTTGGTCATATTGGTAGGAAGACTTATAGGAACGCACCTTGTC